ATCTTGATTACTGTAACTTTATAATAAGTCTTAAAATTGAGATGCATAAGCCCTCCAACTTTCTTCATTCTTAGTTATTGGCTTTTCTAGTTTCTTTGCATTGAATCAGCTTGCCAATATCTACAGAAAACCTTCTGGGACCTTCATTGGAGTTTTATTGAATCCACAAGTCAATTTGGGGAAAATTGATGTCTTAAAATTGATGTCTTCTGATCAATGACCCAGTGTATCTCTCTATTTACTTGTCTTCTTTAATTTCTTTCACCAATGTATTATAGTTTACAATGTAAAGGCCTTCCATATATTTAAGCAGATTTAACCTCCATATTTAATATTTTTAAGCTTATGTAAATAGTGATTTTTAAAATTTCCATTTCCAAATCTTCATTGCTAGTATATAAAAATAAAATTTATTTTCATATTTGTTTTATATCTTGAAATCTTGCTAAACATGATCTTAGTTCTAGTGGCATTTTGGTAGAATTATCTAAATGGACAACTATGCTATCTATGAATAAAGCAGTTTTACTTCTTCTTTTCTAATTTGGATACCTGTAATTTATTTTTCTTTCCTTATTGTACTGGTTAAAACAGCCGGTATAATGTTAAATAGGAGTGAGAGTGAACATCCCTGCTTTGTTCTTATTTTAGGGGAGAAGAATTGTTTTTCACCAGTAAGTATGATATTAGCTATAGGTTTTTTGGTTAGATGTCCTTTATTAAGTTGAGGAAGTTCCTTCTATTTCTAGCTCTCTGAGAATTTTGATCAAAAGTGGATGCTGTATTTTGTTAAATGCTTATCTTGTCTACTAAGATGACCATATGGTTTTCTTTTTAGTATGGTATGTATATAAATTTTCTAGGACTGCTGTAACAAAGTACCACAAACTGGTAGCTTAGAATATATTTATTCTGTCACTGTTCTGGAAGCTGGAGGTCCAATTCAAAGTGTCTGCAGGGCCATTCTCCCTCTAAGTCTATGGTTTGAATCCTTTCTTGCTTCTTCCTAGCTTCTGGTGGTTTCTGTTAATCCTTGGTGTTCTTTCGCGTGCAGTAGCATCGCTCCAATTTCTGCCTCTGTTGTCACATCGTGTTTTCTCTCTGTGTCTCTGTCTAAACATGGAGCTTTTCTCTTATAAGGACACAAGTCATATTGGATTAGGGCCCACGCTAATGTCCTCACCCCAAATTAATTACATCTCTAAAGACCTTATTTCCAAATAAGATCACATTCACAGGTACTGCATTTTAGGACTTTAACACATCTTTTTGGGGGACAAAATTCAACTCATAACATACGGTAAATTACACTGATAGATTTTCAAATGTCAAACCAATCCTGCATCCTTGGGATAAGCAACTTGGCCATGATGTATTATCCTTTTTATATATTATTGGGTTTGATTTGCTAAAATTTTATTAAGAATTTTGCATATATGTTTATGAAAGATAGTGGTCTGTAGTTTCTTTTCTCTTAGTTGGCCTTTGTTTAGTTCTGGTATCAGAGTAATGCTGGCCTTATAGAAATAATTGGGAAATAATTCCCTCTTCTTTATTTTTCTTGAATAGTGAGTGTGGATTGCTATTATTTATTATTATTGCCTAAATGTTTCACAGAATTTACCAGTGAAGCCATATGGGTTATGAGAGTCTTTTTAATGGGACGCTTTTAAGCTAAAGTTTTATTTCTTTAATAAATGTATGGCTATTTAAATGATCTATTTCTTCTTGAATAAGCTTTAGTAGTTTGTCTTTCAAGGAACTTGTCCATTTTATGGAAATTGTCAAATTTTTTGATATAAAATTGTTCACAATATCCCCTTATTATTTTTTACATCTCTATAATCTATAGTGATGCCAGCTCTCTCATTCCTGCTAATTGTAATTTGATTCTTCTTTCTTGTTGCCTTATTCCAATCTAGCTAGAGATTTATAAATTTTATGGATCTCAAAGAACCCAGTTTTGAATTCATTGATTTTTCTCTTTTGTTTTTTTGTTATTTCATTGCTTTGGCTCTGCTCTTTACACATTTTTTGTTTTTCTGCTTTGAGTTTAATTTACTCTTAAGGTAGAATAGAAAATCATTGATTTGAGACCTTTCTTTTGAAAATATTTTAGGAATCAAAATTTCCTTCTAACTGCTACTTTAGCTATATCTCACAAATATTCATATGATGTGTTTTTATTTTTATTCACTTTAAATTCTAATAAACCCTTTGAGTTCTTCGTTGACCATGGGTTATATAGAAGTATGTTACTTAGTTTGCAAATATTTGGAGGGATTTTCCAGATATTTGTTATTGATTTATAATTTAATTGTGTTGTGCTCAAGAACATACTTTATATGATTTTTTTAAAAAAACAACAGGTATAATTTGCATAATACTGTGCATGGTGAATCCTTTTAAATTTACTGAGACTTATTTTATGTCTTAGCATATGGTTTATCTTGAAAAATGTTACTTATGCAATTGAAAAAAATGTGTACCTGCCACTGTTGAGTGGAGTGTTCTATAAATGTCAGTTAGGTTAAGTTGGTTGATATCATTGTTAATATCTTTCTGATTACCTCTCTCCTTATTCTACCAATTATTAAGTGAGATATATATTAAATTCTCTACCTATAGTTATAAATTTGTCTATTTATCCTTGTAGTCTATCAGTTTTGATTCATATTTTTTGAAACTTTTATTAAATGCAAAAACTTTTAGGATTTTGAGAACTTGATTGGAGGTTCTAGCAGGGGAGCGCAGCTACGGTATACCCTTGACTGAAGACCGGTCTCTCTCCTGAGGAGGTGGTGGTGGGGGGAAAGGTGGTCCTCTGCGCAGCTTCGGGAGGGACGCACATGGATCGGTGAGGGAGGAGGGGGACACCCGCCTAGCCAGCCAGATCAGCCGAATCAACCCTGGGGATCAATGGGGTGACAGATGTCGCAGCCAGATCGCCCTCACACCCTAGGATTTTGTATGTCCAGTTAATAAATTGAAATGTCCCGCATTGTCCCTGGTAATATTTGCTCTGAAATATATGTCTGATGTTAATATAGCTAAGAACATTTACATTTTTAATAGAAATCACGTTTCCTCTCAAAAATCAGTCATTGTGTAAGGTTATCCCCCATTCTGGTCCACATTTATTGAGATTTTAATATGAACCTCCCTCTACACATGTAATGTTCCTTCTCAGTTTGGGATGAGATAGTACTCTTGCCATGACTCTGGTTCTCTATCTGCACAACAGTGGCAGTTAACAGCAGCTCTGTCATCCTGTGTGTGGGGGTGAGGAGTGTTGGGAGGGGGAGTACAGGCCAGGGTTTTGTCTTGGGGTTAACTTAGGGAGGCAAAATTTAGAAAAGACAAACGAGAAGTACTTTCATTGTCAGAGGAGGTGGTAAGTAGGGGGCACTTGACTGCTTTAAGGCAGTTCAAGATATCAGGGCCAGATGAATTAGATCTCATGGCAGTTACCTTGTGATCTCAGAGTCACTATTAAACTTTTTTAAGAAATGGGGTCTGATAGATATACGCAAGATTGGAGACAGGTAACTGTACAACAAACAAACAAAAATTGTGTCATTCAGTAAAGGAAGTGATGAGTCCACGGAGCCAGAAAGGGTTCACTAAAAACTTAATTAATTCATTCTATTTGCTGTTAGAGTTAGCCAGTTGGTAGATTTGGAAAGGTCCCAGGTGCTGTGACCCAGAGAGAGGCAGAACTAAGTAGGCTGTCAGAGACAAACAGACCCAGAAGATTCTGGCTGGTGGGTAGCAGGCCATCAACTTTAGACTAGAACCTGGTTTTCCTATTGTGTGTGTTTAATACATTAGGTCAGGCCACAGCCTCTCCATTTGCCTGGATGAGGCAGCAGCAACAGCCCCCAACACACCACATTAAGTACGCAGGTTAAAGAGCCTCTATTTTATAGTCTCTGCAGTCACTAGAACTATACACAGAATACTGGCTAATTATTGTTTAATTATTGCTTAAAAACCAATTGGCACAATACAATCACTGCATTAATTACCCCATACAGCATCTGCTTTCTTTCTTTGCTGTCATCCCCATTCCTCTCCAGCCTTTCTCCCCACTTTAATTGAAATTCAGCTTGCTGTAACACCTCCCTGCTCCTGGCCAACTGGATCTCTCCATTCAAACGAGGAAGAAGAACAAAACAGAGCCCCAGGGATTAGGGAGTTTTGACAGCTGTCCAAGAGAAGCGCTGAGATGCGGGCCAAGTACTGAGGCAGGACAGAGACGAATGGGAGGCAGAAGAGTGACGCGGGGCGGGAGAGAAAGGCAGGGGGACGTCGCAAGAGGAACGAACTGGACAAAGAGTCACGGAGGCAGGCAGAGATGTGTCAGGGGGCGCTGAAAAGGGGAAAAAGAAAGAAGAAGCTAGAAAAGAACTATGGGGAGGTCGTGAGGAAGACGCCAGGGGTTCAGGAGGCGAGCAAGGCGGGAGAGAGCTTGTCAGGAAGGAGGGAGGACAAGTCCAGCGCCTAGGGACAGGTCAGTGCAGCTCGGGGAGCGGTCTGCAGAGGAGGCCGCCTAGCAGCGTGGGGCTCCCCCTCGCACACCTGGGAGCGGGGCGCGGAGCCCGGGGCGAGCCCGCGTGCGCCGGGCGGCCCCGCCCCTCCTGCCGCCCCCCGCGCGGGGCTTTCCTGCGGGGCTCAGGAAGCCGGCCTCGCACCGCGGGAACAATAGCTCCGGGCGGCTCTCGGCCCCCCGAGAGGCCGGCGCCGGGCCGCGGGCCGAGGAGGCGAGCGCGCCGCCGGGGGTCCGCGGCCAGCCCCGGCCCGGGCCGGAGCCGGAGCGGAGCTCGGTGCTGCCCGCTCATTGTTGGCCGGGACGGAGGAGCGGGAGCCGGGGGAGGAGCTGGGAGGCGGCGGCGGCGGCGGGAGCCAGAGGGGGAGCCAGAGAGCGGGCGAGCGAGCGAGCGAGGGAGGGAGGAGGTAGGGAGACAGGGAGGGCGGGAGGGAGGAGGAAAAATAAAGAGGAGAGCCGAGCAGGGCTGAACAATAGAGACAGGCGGACGGGCGAGGAGCAGAGCCAGCTGCCGCTGCCGAGCAGGAGCGGGCGCCCAGGCAGCCCGGACCCCGGCGCGGGCCCGGCCCCGGCAGACAGCAGGCGGCCAGCGCCCCCGGGGAGGGGTCCCATGGGGGAGCCGGCGGCCGGCGCCCCCAGCCCGCCGCGCGCCTCCGCTTGAGGGGGGCTCGGCGCTCCGTGCCCCAGCCCCGCCGCCCAGCCTCCAGCCCTCGGAGTCCGGGGTCCGCCGGGTCTGCGGCCGCCGCCGCCGCTGCGCCCCGCGCCCTCCGCCCACCCGGCTCCGGGCAGCCCTCGGCCCCAGACTCCGCCGGCGCCCGGCTGCTCGCGGACGCCCTCCCCCAGTCATGAACCCCCCGGAGGGGGCGGCGGAGGAAGGAGGAGCAGCCGACTCGGACGTGGACGCCTTTTTCCGGACAGGTAGGCTGGGCAGGGCGCGGGCGGCCGCGGGCAGGGCCGCTGCCTCGGACGCGGCGTCTCGGACAAGTTTGGGGAAGCGGGGCTGTTGCTGCGGGTGTGCATGTTGGGGGGCAGTCCCCCTCGCCGTCCGGGCTGGAGTTGCCGAGATCCCCGTTGTTATGGCAATGCTGGTAGCGTGTCGGGGGCGAGTGGGGGCTGGGAGCGCGGCGCCCCTCGGTGTCCACCCCACTCGCGGGAGTCTGCGGTGGGGAAGCGGGAGGCGGGTCCCTCGGCCGCCTTCCCGGGAGCGCGGCGATGGGGCGATGTGGGCTCACTTTGCAGCGCGCCGCTCGGGCTACCGGCGTCCCCGGCCCCTCCCTCGGTGCCCCTTCTCCCAGCGCCTGTCAGCCCGGCTCCGGCTGCCCTGGGCTGGCACCCCTCCTCGGCCCGGGGCCCTGAAGTGCAAAGAGGGCCGTGGGGACCCGGAGTCGCGAAGGCTGCAGACTGACAGCCAGGAGCGGGGCGGACCCAGGACGGTCAAGCCGGGTGTGTGCGGGGAGCCAGCGTCTTAGACTTGAGAGGCAGATCGTGTTGGGAGGGCGGTGGGCGCCTGGGACCTCCTCCTGGCCCTCTTCTTTTCCAGTTCTGGAAACAGATAAGCTTTTCATAAGAACCACTTATTCCTGGAAGTGTGCGTTAGCGTCCCCCTCGTACACACCCACTGGGTCTTGGCTTGCCTGTGGGTTGTAAAGCCCCCAGATCTGTCTTCCCAGCGTTTGCAGCCTCGCCATCTCCCATCCCCCAGGTGGATAGCTTCTCCTGTTCCTTGGCTGCAGAGTCCCTTTCCAGAACAGACACCTCCCATCCTCCTTTCCCCACCACCTGTGGCCCTGTTTTTCTGGTGGCTAGGGATTCCCCATCTCCCTTTTACCTGTGGCTTCCACCAACTCGGGAGATAGAGCTCCCCATCTCCCATGTCTGGAACCATTTTGTCTGGAATCTTTGTCCCACGGAGTCCAGTAAGTTATGGGACTGGCGCTTCTGCCCTCTCCTTCAGTAAGTTGGATTAGAGGACATGGACTGGTGGGGTCAGCGGTCAGGATAGCTCTGAAGCTCTCTGCACATCCATCTGTTTCCTAACCTCCCTGTCTTGCCCTGGAGGTCATCTCTAGGAGTGCATTGTCAGGGGAGACTTGTGTCTTTAGAAGTCAAGACTTGGTTGGCCCATATGTTCATTTTCTAGTGGGTCTGGAAAGGAAAATGCTGGAGTACAGGAGCAGATGCCAGGACTGGAGAAAGCAGAGGGAGCCCTGTTACCCTATCCTGCTTCCTAGGGCTCAGCCTTGCCTCTCTCCCTCCTTCCTTCCCCCCAGAGGTGGATTGTACACACATATTCATATTCATTCATATACTCTCTCCCTCCCTCCCTCCCTTCCTCCCTCCCTCCTTCCCCCCTCTCCCCCTCACCCACTCTCCCCCTCTCCCCCCTCCTCCCTCCTCCCCCCCCTGGGAGGAGGAATCCAAAGCATGGATTCTAAAGTGCATGTGGGGAGCCAGCATCTCAGACCTGACCTGAGTTTGTAGCCTGCCACCTAGGGTCAAATTTCTGTGAGCTAAATGATACCAGAAAACATTCACCAGGGGGTCTTCCTGACCCCTCTTGCCTCCCATCTGGGGCAAAAATCTGCCTTTTCTTAGCTTGAGGAAAACTCTTGAAGTGGGAGCCATTTTTTTTTAGACCCCACTTCTATTTTTTGGTGTTCACTCCTCCTTTCCCTTTCCTACCACCTAGACACTGCTTCCTGTCTATTCTCTGTCCCAGGCCCTTGGAGCAGAGCTCAGTTTCTGGAGGCTTGCTAATTTCTGACAAATGACTTCACACAGTGTTAAATGTGTTAATGGCTTCTAATGGTCCAATGTGTTACTTTTCCCAGGGCCTTTCAAAACACAACCGGGGGCTTACATTGTCTATCCCAGGCTCAAATCACAGAGTGAATAGCAGACTCCTGGGGACTCCTGTTAGGGATATGCTTTCCTCCTTGGACAGCCTTGTTGAAGGGAGGCTAGGTCTGATGTACACTTACAATCAGAGAAATGTGAAAACCTCAATGCATATGGCTGGAATGACTGATTATCTGTAACAAGTGCCAAATGGGAGTGTAGGCCGGCCCTCTGTGCTCTGCTTCTTGATCTTACCCTTTCCAATCTTTAGCCTGGGCTTTTGCTGGGGATTCTTAAGCCCGGAAAAGGCCATATTTCCTAACCTTCTTCCTTCTGATTCCCCTGTCTATGGAACATAGCACTACACCTGGTAATCAGGACATTATGAATTTATTCAACTGAACAACTGAGAAAATGTTCAAACAAATTCTCAAAGGCCCCAGTGCCAGGATTACCTCCTTCTTTTTGGTGGAAAATTTTGCATGCACAAAGACCAGGCTGGCAATTGCTTTGTCAAAACTATGGCATACTGTGCCTCTAATCAGGTGTGTTTCAAATTATTCTATCATTTTGGTTCTTTACTAGTCATCTTCCAATTATTTTGGTATTTCAGTTCTCTTGACTAACTGATTAAGCTAGAATTCTTAAATCTTACTTCCCTGCACACACAGACACTACCCCAGCACACTATTCTTATAGATTGGTGGACTCCATATCATCTACCTGGGAATTCTCTGTTCCAAGCCTGGGAAAGTGTGTCTCATTAATTTTATTGATCATGGTTATGAGGCAGAGAAGGGGAAATATGGAAACTCAGAACTGGGAATAGGAACCAAGTGGAATAGAAAGCCAATGAGGATTTTCAACTTCTAGAAGCCTTTTGCTGTCTAGGATGCTGTGGAATACTAACAAAATATTCAAAGTGCTTTCTGCCCTTGAAGAACTTTAAAAAGAAGATTGACAGTTACTTCTCAGAGAGTAATTAATTGCTAAACATTATGATGCTATAAGATAAAAAGGTGATGGAACTACAGAGGAGTTGAACTGAGGGTCCCCCTTGGGGAGGGCTCTGGATGGGGAGTGGGAAGAGCTGTGTGGGCTAAGGCACAGGGAGGTTGGGGCATTGACATTGAGGATTTCTGGCTGACCGAATGGAAGGTGTAGTTTGGGGAGGAATAGGAAACAGAATTGGTAAGTAGGGCAAGGCCAGATATGAAGAGCCTTAGAAGCCCAAGAGAAGTGTTTGGATTTGATTCAGGATCAGTAGGGAGTCATTTAGGTTCTTGAGCAAGGGCATATCCCGAAGAAAGTGATATTTGGAAAGTTTAACCTGGAGGTAATATTACTGATGTAGTGGAGAAGAGAGATAATCCAGGGAGATGCAAAAGTGATCCAGACACAGGGGATGACGGGCAGGGGGAAGGCTTGGTGTGGGTTGGTTGCAAAAAGGATGGGGAATCAGGGACAACGCTGAGAGACATTTTCAAAGGTGGAAATGTGGTGATTTGTTGACAAACTAGTTATAGGGGGAAAAGAAAATTAGGCCCATGAAGAAAAAGAAGTAGCTGGGTTGGAGGTCTGACAGTGTCCCCACGGACATAGTCTGGTTGAAGACAGGACCTGGTTTTGCAGGTAGTGATGTTAGCTTCAAATGTGGATAATTGGAGGTGATTGAGGGACATCCCGGTGGAGTTGTTTTTGGGAAATGTGACCTCAAGACAGGAGCATAGGCAGAGGTTAGAGTTGGCAATGTAGATGTAGAAACTTTCTGCTTCAAGAAATTGGGGGAGAACCTCTTATTCAGGAAGTGGCAACAAAGGAGACTTTGTCCTGGGGACCCCAGAAAGTCAGCGTGGGTTTTGATGTGATGACAGGCTACAGACATATTGAGTAGGAGGAACGCAGGCTCACTGGATAAGTGTCACTGGATGTGATAAAAAGAAGGCCACTGGGAGCTCTTGAGAGTATAGTATTAAAAGAGGAATTTAGAATAGGGACTTGGGATGGTGGGTAGAAAGCAGTTACTCGCAGAGTTTATCAGTGAAAGGAAAAAGAGGTTGTGTGCTCATCATAAGGGATGTTAGTATCAAGAAGAGCAGTTTTGTGTGTGTGTGTGTGTGTGTGTGTGTGTGTGTGTGTGTGTGTTTGTCAGAGTCAGAACAGGTTCGGAGGTGGAAGGGAGCAAGCTTGTGGACGGGAAAAACTGAAGATGTGAGATTGATTGTTGAGTTAGATACCTGAAGAGGTGAAATAAGACTAGGTTTTCTAACAAGTGTAAGAACTTAGCTTTGGTGACAGAGGTGAAACCTATTTCTTTAAGATTCGAGGGAAAAACAAGAAGATAAATGAAAACAGAATGATGTGGAAATATCTTCTACCTCAGTCCTTCTGTTGAGCTTTGTCCTGTGAATCCAGACATTTTTAGCTGGAGTGTTTGCTGTCACTTGGACTTTGGCCAGCTTCAAAATCAACTGTGTATGTCTTGACAACTCCTCAGACTAGCTCCCAGAAACTTGTGGGGAGTAGCAAGAGGACTTTGTTGTTCTGGAGAGGGAAAGTTGTTAATATTTCTAATGCATTTACATCAGCTATTTCTATATTAGTTTATTTTAGAACATATCAATGACATCCAGGTGCATCTCCATAAGATTTAGGAGGCTTTGCTTCTTCCTTGGTACTTACAGTCTGTGAGGAATCTCTCCTCTGATAAGCTCTATTGAATTGTCTTTCATAGTTAGCCCTGTTGTCCATCTGCCGGGCCTCTTCCCTAGGCCAGGACCCATCATACCTGTCATGGATTCATTTAGTGGCCTTCATTCTTGTCCTTTGGAATCTGTCCCCCCCCCCCCCCCCCTTCAAATTGGCACTTGCAGGCAGATTGTACTTCACAAAGTAGATTACACTACTTGTTTGCATCACATTACTGCTTGGTCTCTGGACCTACAATGACTCCCCAGTGCCTTCAGGCTCAAGTTCTTGCTCACAGCCCTGCTCCAGCCTGACTGCTTTTCTCACTATCTAAGGGCATCTTGATTCATGTTCTCCTTGAATCATCTACCCTGGCACCCCCATCTCTAAAT